AACTCCCACTTTATATATTCTCCAGTTCAGGTGGGAGTGCTCAGTCCTTCCCTCAGAGCGGGGAATTCCATAAAAGGGCATGAAGATGCTCAGTCCCTCCCTCAGAGAGGGGAATTCCATAAAAGGGTATGAGGACAGGAGCATCTTCCCACCTCGCAGGCCTCTACTGACAACAGATTCTGGGAAATGGCATGGAAGGCTATAGAATACACAGTTTTGGGTTACACCCATCCAGTGATGAATTGGTCACAGCCATTCTAACCAGGACAACCACACAGCCAGAATCCAAAACCAGAACCAAAACTCTCGAATCAGTTAGAGACAAAGCCTGTCCTAGCAAAGATGCTCACTGATTGATTCCCTTCCCGTTTTACCCCACACAACACAATGGCTTTCCCTGGAAAGCAAGGTCAGGGAAGAGGCGTCACCAACTAGCAGAGCTGGGCCAGGAAAGGCAGAGGGAGATGGGGAGGTAAAAGCCTCTCCCCAGATCATGGCCAGGCAGAGGCAAGGACCTGCTCCATCACTCACACCTCAGCACTCTCTCGCAAGGAGCCACCTCAGTTAATAGTGAGGACGTCGCTCTGAATCTCGTGGCTCAGCTGGGTCTGGAGGTCGCTCAGTTTCTTCTTCAGGCCGGACAATGCGGACAGAACGATGGTCTCTGGGCGCAGAGAACCGCAGGACTCCACGTTGTAATAGAACCTCTCTGGCTTCCCGTTGGGGTCATAGGGAGCCTGAGCATCCTCATCATCGATCTCCGAGTACTCACTCTTGGGCCACTCCTCTGGTTTGGGGTACACGGTGTGCCTCAGCGCGTTGTCTGGGTCGTACTCGAAGGCCACGCCCGCCGTGGGGTTCCACTTGGCGTGCTCCTTCCTAAAGCCCTTCTTAGCATAGGCTCTCAGCCGGAGCTCCTGCCCCTTCCGCAGCTTCACAATGAGGATGTCATACTGCTCCACGTAGTCATTGGGGTCATTGTCTCTGCTCCGAGACGTCACCGGAATGACCCGGGGATTGTTGGAGATGAGGTCACGGGATGTGACATGACGGGTCTGGTCCTCGTTGCAGCGAACATCCAGGGTGAACTCCACGGAGCACTCGGGGCAGAACTCGTCACATGTACAGTCTCTGGAATATTGCATCTTATCCACAATGTCATCGCTGGTGAGAGGGATGAGGCCCAACGTGTGTGCAATGAACTCATCGTGGAGCACGGAGGAGTTGGCATCTATCTGGACCCAGTCGATGGCTATGGTGGGGACTTCAGCGATGAACACTCTTCAAATGGAATTTGCCACCACCAGGTCCGTGTTCTCAATGATGAACTTGACGTTCTCGTCCGTCAGCTCGGTGATGCGCACGGTGGGCTGGTTGGCGTACAGCATGGCCGCCCCGACCCGGCCCCAATCCCCGGCCTGATCCCGCTCCCGGCCCCGCTCCTGCCCAAAGTAAAGGGAGAGGGGAAAAAAAACCTGCTGGTGGGAGAGCTGCTGCAGTCTGGTCAGAAAGTGGTGATTGCAGTCCAGTCGAGGGTGGTGGTCTCAGTCTGGTTGAGAGCAGTGGTCTGCAGTCTTCCTCTGGATCCCACGAGTGGTGCCAAGGTTCTGAAACTCCCACTTTATATATTCTCCAGTTCAGGCGGGAATGCTCATTCCCTCCCTCAGAACGGGGAATTCCATAAAAGGGTATGAGGATGCTCAGTCCCTCCCCTCAGAGAGGGGAATTCCATAAAAGGGTATGAGGACAGGAACATCCCCCCATCTCGCAGGCTTCCACTAATAACAGTTTCTGGGGAATGGCATGGAAGGCTATAGAATACACAGTCCTGGGCTGCACCCATCCAGTGATGAAATCGGTCCCAGCCGTTCTGTGGCAGTTTGAGCCACGTTAGAAATCTAAAAAATCCAATTTTCAGGCTTTTCCACCTCCTCCCAAAATTTGTGCCAACACCGAAGAGAAACTTTCAGGCCAGAGGCTTCTATAGGGGAAGGGGGATGTATATACATTTATTTACACAAATAAATACTATACAAGCTAAAGACAACTATATATATATTACATCTCTATCAATCAGTCCTTTCAAGCCCCTCCTTTAAGTTTAGTCCAGGAAAGAGTCTTTTCAAGGCTGGAAAGTAACCAGTCCCTCTGTGGGAGTGTTCTGGGCCTGAACGCTCCCCCCTCACCAAGTTCCAGTTGTTTTGTTGTAGTCTCTCCTCCTTGTAGTCTCTCCTCCTCATGAAGTCCAGGAAGATAGCTCTGAGTCCTTGCTCTCCTGCTGCTGTGTGATCTCTCTCTCTCTCATACCTCGATCCGTAGGCTGCTGCAGTGTAGCTCTGCTTATCAAGCGTCCACGTCCTGGCATGTGGATTTCTCCTCGGGTTTTCGGTTGTCCTGCGTGGTAGAGACATCCTCCGGGCCCCTTTCTCTCTCTCTCTCTGGGGGTCCATCTCCAATTTCGCTTGGGACTCTTTCTCCCGAGCGCCGGGCCTACCTCCATGGCACGTCCACTAGGCTCAGCTTCAATGCTAAGCCTCTCCTCCGCTTTCCAGCGGAGGGAAAGGAAAAGCCCCCCTCCACAGCTTAGCTGTAGAAAAGGAGGGGGGAGAAGGCTTGGCTACAAAAGCCTGCCTCTCTCCTCTTACCTCAAGTCAGGTTCAGGTGCTGTGAGTCTCTTCCCTCACTGCACACACTCAAAATGCTGCCTCTAACTCTGCTCTGGGCTAGGCAGAGCTGGGGGGGCCGCAGGGCTCCCCTCTCCCCCCCCAAAGGGGGAAGAAGGAGCCCAGCCACCCCCCGGCCTTCCATAATGTCCTGGTTAGAACGGCTGTGACCAATTCATCACTGGATGGGTGTAACCCAAAACTGTGTATTCTATAGCCTTCCATGCCATTTCCCAGAAACTTGTCAGTAGAGGCCTGCGAGGTGGGAGGATGTTCCTGTCCTCATACCCTTTTATGGAATTCCCCGCTCTGATACCCTTTATGGAATTCCTCCCTCTGAGGGAGGGATTGAGCATCCTCATGCCCTTTTATGGAATTCCCCGCTCTGAGGGAGGGACTGAGCACTCCCACCTGAACTGGAGAATATATAAAGTGGGAGTT